TCTCGAGCGGGTGGGCTCTCGAGCGGCCTTTCTTGCGCTCGAGCGTTAGCCTGTTGTTTGCAAAACTACTGGACGTGTGTTTTCTACGCTCGAGCGTCACTTCTTGAGCTCGAGCGGTGAGAGTCTCTTGCATTGTGTCTTTGCGTTCGAGCGGCACTTCTCGCGCTCAAGCAGAACAACTTATTGTGTCTAACGCTTGAGAGTCACTTCTTATGCTCGAGCGGACTGTGCATATATCATATCGCAAAAATGACTTTTTACATCACTTTTTTAGATCTATTTCCTTTCAAAACCCCAAAGTTGAGACTCTCTCTCTCTAAACTTACCTTCTCTCTAGATTTTCATCTAGTTCTAGTGAGTTCTAAACCCATTCGCCTTTGTTAAAAAGAGTGAGCACCTCAAAATCTCCATTTTGATCCTTATAGACTTTGGTTTCAGCATCTTTGAAGTTTCATCTTTGATTGGCTAACCTTCTCTCTTAGAGGTAGGGATTTTTCTACACTTTTATATGGTTTTTAACTTAGTTATGGGTTGTTGTGTAAAATGGTGAAGGTTGGGGTGTTGTGAACAAACCTAGGGTTTGGGTATTATATCAAAAGAGGGGCTTCTAAGTGAATGAGCTATAGAAAGTTATGGAATTGAATATGAGGCTATATCATGTCAACTTAGTTGATTTTGGCATTTGGTTTGAGATTTGGGAGAAATGAGAGTTTGCCCTAAAATGATTCAAATATTTATTTTATATAAATAAATGAAATTAATATTGTAAAATATGAAATTGGAGGGACATTGATACAAATGGTGGTGTTGGATATGTATTACCTCACACTTGTGAATGTTTGAATAATTTATTTGTCTTGAGATTGAATATCTATTTAGAAATATCTGTATTGGGCTATCGGTGGAGGATAGCCATGATTGTTGTAGAGATTGCATGAGGACTAGGTGAATTGAAACTAATCTCTTATTATTTGTCATTGAATATGACTATTTTAATACATTGTATATGTATGATTGTTTGGGAGAAGAAAGAGGATGTACTCTATTGAAATTAAGTTGGCCTGTGTGTCTAGGGTGAAAGTCTTGAAACTGCGTGTATACATGGCTGCAGATCTCGCGGATGAAATTTCTATAAAATGACAAGATTGAAGTGTTTGTGTGATGATTGTGTTAATTTGGAAACCATTGAGTTGTAGTCTCAGATGGGTTGTTCGAAAGATAATGAAATTTGCTCACGAAGTGAGATAAAAATGAATAAGAATTAATAAAAAGGGTAAAGGATTGAGACATGAATTCTGGTACTTTATGGTTATATAGAACACAAATGTTTTATCATTGATATTGTAAATGCACATTGTACTTATACCTTTGTTAAAATTCATATACTGTGTTAGATTGTTCCTACTGGGCTTTGGCTCACCCTACTTGGGAAAAACCAATTTCAGGTGTTAATAAGATGCCTCCGCCAAGGCCATAGCTTGGGAGGAATTGGAGCTGAAGGCTTCATCTTTTGTATTTGTGCAAATTGTTTTAATTTCAAGCCAAGGGCTTTGTATATCTATACTGGATTTGTATCCATTTTGTTGTAACCAAGCGATGACTTGGAAATATGTAAGCCTATAGAGAATTTACTTATGTTGAACTATTGTATATCGTTAACTCTATGAAATGAAGGGACATTACATTTTGATTCATGTTGTTGTTCATATATGTTTTTGGTAGAATTATGGTTTAATTTTCGGGACATGACAACTTGGTATCAGAACGTACTGGGTATGAATACTTTGGGTACGTAAGAAGTGGACCATGATTAGGAATTGAGGACTGGATTCATGTTCCGAGTGGTCGGGTCCATGACTAGGGATTATGGGCTCCTTGTGGAGGCGGCGGCCCATCTTGAGACCATCATGCAGATGGAGGATGATAGAATGAGGGGCTCCAGGAGGAGTCAGGATAATCAAGGGACAACAAGAGGGCAAGGGGTTCTAATCCCCAGTCATACCAAGAAGCACAGTTGAGGTCCATTTTTCCAGTACCGAGTTCAAGTTCTGGGAGAGGTTGTAATAACCCGACCCTCTTCTATGCTTTAATATTTTAATCATGCAGCTAATTATATGCATGATGTGAAATTCTATGTGAAATTGTATTTAATTATGTGAAGTATCTGATTATGAGATCATATCTGTCGGTTGTGGGAAAAATCTGTTGAAATTGAAACATTTAGAGAAGAATTGGAAGCCTTAGAAGCACGATAACCCAAAATTGACTTTGTAATTATGATCAACATGATTTTTAGGACGTAATATCAAGTTTTGTAAAAATTTGATTGGTAATGAATTAATTGGAAATATTTTGGCTCAACACTCTTAAGACTTAAACCTTGATAGATATAAGGGTCTTATAAGAGCCTTAGATGAATTGCTATCAAAAAAATGAATAAATAAATATCTCCTGAGAGAGAGAGAGAGAGAGAGCTAGAGAAAAAGAGAAAAGAGAGGACGCTTCAACAAGAGTGAAGATTGAAGAAATTGAGAAGAGTTTTAAAGATTAGAGTTCAAGGTATGTATAGTTTGATTAGAATATCCTAACCTCTCTCTCTAATTGATTTGAGAAGGAAATCTTTACATTCATGTGAGCTACGGTTTTGCAATAAGAGTCTTGTTTATGGTAATTGATTGATTTGAAGGATGATTCTTATGTCTTGGGTTGTCTTGAACTATGTTAAGAGGAATTACCTCTTATTCTTTAGCTTTACATGCTTTGAACTCACACATGCATATAGATGTTTATATATATTTTTTTTGATAAACCAAGTAAGGATGAAAACATAAAAGATTTGGGTTGTAGATATGAATTTGAAAAGGGTTATGACCTAATTATGCTTGTAATTCATGTTTATTGTGATGATATATCATAAAATTGAGATAATTTTCCCTATTTTGCACTTTGTAAATGTGTTTGGTCAGTTGGATTTTGTTTAAGTTTCGGACTGCTCAAACAAAGCATACGACCGCATGTGCGAGACCCATAGCTGCACATGCGAGAGGCACAGCCGCACGTGTGGCCCAAAGGAAAAAATTCTGTCAGCTTCTTTTTCTCTGTTAGACCCTCTGGAGCTGCTAATATGTACATGTGATCCTTCTAAAATGCTTATAATTAAATAAGAATTGAACGAATCGAATATTGCATAAAAGAAAAAGACTAAAGAAAAGTGGCTTACTTAAGGGTTATGTGCTATGTGTAGGTCAGTGCAGGAAGGGACTGTTGCTCATCCACATCGCAGTGAGTAATAGTAGTGTAATGTTACGTTTCATTTACTTTTGGTGATTATCATTTGTATATCGTTACTCGTGAATGGCATATGTTCTTGATATTGTGGATGATTGGAACACTTGAACTGAAGTGATTGAACAATGGCATTAATATGGACCCGAGGTCGTTTTGTTTCCATTACAATGGCGGTGTTTGGGGAAAAAAAAATGGATTTTTTTTTGATTTTTTCCACCAAAAGACAAAGTTTTTGCAAAACCAAAAAAAAAACAAATCCAAACAAAATATCACATTTAATCCCATAATCATTTCACTTTTTCTCTCACAAACATCACTTCCAACCAGAAAAAAACCCAACTATCTTCCCAAACACCAAAAAAATTTTATCCAATAATATCCTACAACTAAAAAAACCTACATAAAAACTCACTTTCCAAACACCCACAATAATGGGCCTGAGGCCGTTCTGAAGTGAACTACTTATGATTGGTGGCCCTAAGGCCGAGGGAGATGGAGACATGTCGATGTTCTATCGACCCTATAATGATATGAACTGTCTATGACTCTTGGCCTAAGGCTGAGGGAGGTAGAGACATGTTGATGTTCCATCCACCCTCTAATGTTCCGAACAGCTATTGACATGTTGGGCCTAAGGCCGTTCTGTATGATATTGGGCCCAAGGCCGTTTTGCGAGTGGACAAGTACATGACTTGTAATTTTATATTCATCACGTCTTATGCTTATTCACATGAACCTCCTTACATTACTATTATTCACTGAGTTTCGCTCGCTCTATATTTATGTATGTTTATGTAGGTAACCAACTTGGGGGCCAGCCCTAGTCCAACTCCGACAACCCTTTTGTTGACCCCGTTGTGTCAAGCCAATTAAAGTGAAGCCTTTTTGCCTTTTGTAGAGTTTCCTTTCATAGCACACATTGTTGGGTCATTAATGCTTTTGTCAAATGTTGATTAACATGTATAACTTTTAACTCTTTGATGTTTTTGGTTTTACCCCATTCATTGGGCTTGTATATATATATATAGATGTGAACTATGTATATATTATGACATGTGATGAAAATGTTATGCGATCTTGGCATTTAAACACTGCCCAATGGGCGTATCATTTGAATATTAAAATTGCTTCCGTTTTAAGCCCCGGTATTGTATAAGATGTTTATGGATTATTTGATTATTTGGTTTTGAGGCCTATGTTCAGGCCGGTCATGCCCAAAATTTTTGGGGCAAGTTTAGGTCGTGACAGTTGGTACCATGGCACAAGTTGCTATATCACACACAAGTCCGTTGAGCTTTAAGGAGTCTAGAAAAGACTTAGGTTACATGCATGTTATTTATGGTGCATACAAGATGATTTATATAGCAACGAGATTTGTATATGTAAGAATCAACGACATGTATTTTAAAATGATTACCATCCATGTCTATTTGTATATCTTTTGTGTGTATTATAATTTCTTGCTATGTAGATTATGGTGGGGACAAGGGTGGATGATTCGGAGGATTCTACCTCCGCACGGTTGGATAGAATGGAAAGGATGATTATGGAAATGGCAGAAACTTGTAGGCAGCAAAAACAACCACTGTCGCCACCAGTGCCCATACCACCGCCAGTGGTGCAAGACCATCAGGCCGAAGACCGGACAATTACACTTACGAAGGAATTAAAGAAGATAAAGCCACCCTTGTTTAAGGGGGGGAATTGATCCAATGAAAGCAGAGGCATGGGTGTTGGGTGTGGAGAAGTTGTTCGAGGTCTTTCCATGCACTGAAGCTCAAAAAGTACAGCTTGCCGCCTTCACTCTTGAAGATGAAGCACGTAGGTGGTGGATGTTTATGAGAATTGAACATCAAGGGTTGACTTGGGCCCTATTTCTGAAACTCTTCTATGACAAATATTTTCCGCAGTGTATACGAGATAAGAAGGTGACTGAGTTTGAGACTTTGAGACAAGGAAACAAGACTGTTGCAGAGTATGAATCTCAATTTGCAAAATTAGCCCTTTTGCACCACATATAGTGGACACGGACTATAAGAAGGCAAGAAAGTTTGAAGGAGGATTACGGGATGCTATTCTCGACTGGATCAATGTGTTGATATTACCTACCTATGTCGATGTATTGTAAAGGGCAGTAATGGCTGGGGGAAATATTGTCACTCAGAATCGGATCTCCGAGTGGAGAGGGAAGAGGCAGAATACTCAAGCACCAAGGGATTAATGGCTCCACCGAGTAAGAAACTAAATTCGGGGACTTTGAGTACTTCCACCTCTACTCATGACTTGGCACCCATTTGTCCGGATTGTGGAAAGAGACATTGTGGGACTTGCTATCGGGTAACAGGGGCATGTTTAAGTGTGGCAAAACGGGTCATTTAGTAAGGGAATGCCCTCAAAGAGATCGACAAAACGGGAATAGAACCACTACAAGTTCAGCTGGCTCAACTCCAACCACAAAGGCAGCTGCAAAACCCACCAATGCTAAAGATACCTCTAGGCAAGGAAGAGTGTTTGCGTTGGTTCCGAGCGACATACAAAATGCTAAAACAGTAGTATCAGGTACATTTACTGTTAATAGTCACTTCGCTCATGTGTTGTTTGATTCAAGCTCTACCCACTCATTTGTGTCAAAAAACATTTGTTCGTCATTTAAATAGACCTATGGAACCACTACCTTATATGTTGTGTGTGTCTTCACCTTTAGGGGATTCTATCGTCTGTACCAAGGTTTTGAAACCCGGACCGGACCGGCCGGTTCAACCGGTGACTGGATGGGGTTCCGGTCCGGTTAGCCCTCTCAAACCGGCCAATTGCAAAAATCGGACTATTTATTGAAAACCAGTGAACCCACCGGTTAAACCGGTCACGGGTCGATTGAACCGGTCCGGCTCCTTTTTTTTTTTTTCTTTCTTTCTTTCTTATTTTATATATAATATAATATATATATATATATAAAATATAAGAATATAAGAAAATTTTAATTTGAAACTCTTTTTTAAGGGTCTCCTCTTGTGAGGAATCCCATTAAGAGTTTTGATGAAATTATTGTGAAAGTCTTCACCTATTTATAAGAAAAAAATTCTTTCAAAAAGACTCAAGAAATCCATGTGGGATTCAATCAAATGTATTGGAGGGAATATTGAAATTTTGATAGCCCTCCAAAATCTTTGCTCTCCTTTCAATCAAATTATTTGAATTAAAATCATATAGAGGGGATATTAAATATTTTATTTCATCTTCCAAAATTGAAATTAATAATATTTCAAAATATATTATTATATTTTTCAGTAAAAAAAATATTAAGACAAATATTTAAGATAATTTAATATTTTTAATATTTTTAATTTATAATTTTATTACTTATATTTTTATTTAAATATAATTTTAATATATTTATTACGTCACGGTTCAATTCCGGTTCAACCGTCAAACCCGTCCACCCGATCCTTTTTCCGGTTCGTTCACCGGTCCGATTTTTAAAACATTGGTATGTACATCTATTTACCTTGCATGTGAACTCTTACTTAGGGATGTTCGGGTATATCCCAACTTGTTACCTCTTGATGTGGCTTACTTTGACATAATTTTGGGGATGGATTGGTTAAGTGAGTATCATGTGACTATTGATTGTATGTCCAAGCAAGTTACTTTTCACCCTCTGGGACAGCCAGAGTTTACCTTAAAGGGGCATAGGGTGATTTCTCCACCTTACTTAATTTTCGCAATGAAAGCGTGCAAATTATTGCAAAAGGGGTGTCAGGGGTATTTATGTAGCATATTTAAAGGACAACCAGCGAATGTGTGTGTTGATACAATTCCAATCGTTCGTGAATTTCCGGATGTTTTTCTGAAGGAGTTACCAGGAGAGCTAGTGGATTATGAAATTGAGTTTACAATTGACGTAGTGCCGGGAACTCAACCCATTTCCAAAACTCCTTATAGGATGTCACCGGCTGAGATGAAAGAGTTGAAGGTCCAGTTGCAAGATCTACTCGACAAAGGGTTCATTCGCCTGAGTACCTTGCCTTGGGGCGCACCAGTTCTTTTTGTAAAGAAAAAAGATGGGACTCTTCGATTGTGTGTGGACTATAGGGAGCTTAATAAAGTAACAGTCAAGAATAAGTACCCATTGCCTAGGATCGATGACTTATTTGATCAACTACAAGGGGCACAAGTCTTTTCAAAAATTGATTTAAGGTCCGGGTATCACCAACTGAAGGTCAAAACCGAGGATGTTGAGAAGACTGCCTTCTAAACCCGATACGGACATTATGAATTTTTGGTTATGCCGTCTGGAGTTACCAATGCACCGGCGACATTCATGGATTTAATAAATCGTGTTTTTAAGCCTTATTTGGATGAATTTGTAGTGGTGTTCATTGACGACATCCTCATTTATTCGACAAGTACGGAAGCTCATGAGAACCATCTACGGGTAATTCTTCAAACCCTTCGGGATAAGAAACTATATGCAAAATTGAAGAAATGTGAATTTTAGCTACATGAAGTGGGGTTCTTGGGACATGTCATAACGAAGGAGGGCATTTCTGTTGACCCACACAAGATCGAAGCTATTGTGAATTGGCTAACTCCTACTAATGTGACCGAGGTGCGTAGTTTCTTGGGATTAGCCGGGTACTACCAAAGGTTTGTTAAAGACTTCTCCAAAATTGTTGTACCACTTACCCAATTAACTCAGAAGGGTGTTTTCTTTGAATGGTCGGAACAACGGGAACTGCCTTGCAGGAATTGAAGACAAGGTTAACTACAGTACCAGTTCTTGCCTTACCATCTAGCACCGAAGGATTTGTGATTTATAGTTACGCTTCTTACAAAGGATTAGGCTGTGTACTCATGCAAAATGGAAGGGTCATCGCATATGCCTCTCGCCAACTTAAACCTCATGAAAAGAATTATCCCACACACGACCTTGAGCTAGCTGCAGTGATCTTTGCTTTCAAAATATGGTGACATTATTTGTATGGCACTACATGTGAAGTCTACACCGACCATAAGAGTCTCAAGTACTTCTTTACCCAAAAGGAGTTGAATATGCGACAACGACAATGGTTAGAGCTTATTAAGGACTATGACCTGCAAATCCATTACCACCCTGGTAAAGCCAATATTGTTGCAGATACTCTTAGTCGAAAAGGTATGGAAAATTTGGCAAGTTTGCTCATGAGACAGAAGGAGTTACTCCTTGATTTGGAAAGAATGAACGGGAAAATTGTGGTGCATGATCGGGATACAATATTGGCAGCAATGTCAGCCCAACCCGCACTAATTGAAGAAATCAAGCAACGACAAATGGAAGATGAGTTTTTAAGGAAGATTTGCGATAATTTGGAAACAAAGCCAAGACCTGGGTTCATCATTGAAAATTCGGTGTTAAAATTTCAAAACAGACTATGTATTCCTAATGTGCTAGAAATTAAGAAGAAACTGATGGAGGAAGCACATGCCTCGAAATTTTCAATACATCCCAGTAATACCAAGATGTACCAAGATTTAAAGCAAAACTTTTGGTGGCTGAGTATGAAGAAAGAAATTACGGAATTTGTTTCGAAATGTTTATAATGTCAACATGTAAAGGCGGAGCACCAAAGACCGGCAGGTTTACTTCAACCCCTTCCAATCCCGGAGTGGAAGTGGGAACATTTAACTATGGATTTTATTGTGGGTTTACCACGAACTCCTCGAGGTATGAATTCCATATGGGTCATTGGTTAACTAAATCCGCCCATTTTCTACCTATGAAAACTCAATACAATGCGGATAAACTTGCTATGATTTATGTAAATGAAATTGTAAAACTACATGGTGTTCCAGTTTCGATCGTGTCAGATAGGGATCCGAAATTTGTGTCAAGATTTTGGAAAAGTTTACAAGATACTATGGGAACAGAGTTGAAATTCAGTACAGCCTTTCACCCTCAAACAGATGGCCAATCTAAGAGAAAAATACAAACATTAGAAGATATGCTACGAATGTATGTCTTGGATTTCCAAGGAAGTTGGGAAACTTATCTACCATTGGCGGAGTTCGCATACAATAATAGTTACCACTCAAGCATAGGAATGGCACTCTATGAAGCCTTATATGGAAGAAAATGTCGCTCCCCTGTTTGTTGGGCCGAAGTCGATGATAGATCATTGTTTGGGCCTGAGATCGTGCAATTGACGACAGAGAAAATTAAAACTATTCGAGAAAGGTTGAAAATCGCTCAAAGCAGGCAAAAGAGTTATGTGGATCATCGACGGAGGGATTTAGAATTTGAAGTGGGAAATTATGTTTCAGTGAAAGTCACTCCGATGAAGGGACACCCAAGATTCAGTAAAAAGGGTAAGTTAGCAACTCGATATGTCGGTCTGTTTCAAATTTTGGAAAGAGATTATGAATTAGCCTATTGTGTTGCTTTTCCGCCAAATATGGAATAGTGCATAATGTGTTCCACGTATCTATGTTACGGGGTTACTTACAAGATCCATCTCATGTCATAGACTACCGTCAGATTGTCTTGAATGATAACTTGATCTATGAAGAAAGACCAATTTGAATCTTGGACCGACAACTGAAACAGTTACGGAACAAAGTAATTCCAATGATGAAAGTGGAGTGGCAAGAACATTACGGGAAGGAAGCTACTTAGGAAAGAGAAGAGGAAATAAAACAACAGTACCCGGACTTATTTCCAACTTAAGGTAAAACAAGTTTGAGGGACCAAACTTATTTAAGGAAGGGAGAGTGTAATAACCCGACCCTCTTCTATGCTTTAAGATTTTAATCATGCGTCTAATTATATGCTTGATGTGAAATTCTATGTGAAATTGTGTTTAATTATGTGAAGTATCTGATTATGAGATCATATATGTCGGTTGTGGGAAAAATCTGTTGAAATTGAGACATTTAGACAGCAAATTGGAAGCCTTAGAAGCACGATAACCCAAAATTGACTTTATAATTATGATCAACATGATTTTTAGGACATAATATCAAGTTTTGTAAAAATTTGATTCGTAATGAATTAATTGGAAATATTTAGGCTCAACACTCTTAAGACTTAAACCTTGATAGATATAAGGGTCTTATAAGAGCCTTAGATGACTTGCTATAAAAAAAAAAAGAAATAAATAAATATCTCCAGAGAGAGAGAGAGAGAGAGTGATAGAGAAAAAGAGCAAAGAAAGGAGGCTTCAACAAGAGTGAAGATTGAAGAAATTGAGAAGAGTTTTAAAGATTAGGGTTCAAGGTATGTATAGTTTGATTAGAATATCCTAACCTCTCTCTAATTGATTTGAGAAGGAAATCTTTACATTCATGTGAGCTACGGTTTTGCAATAAGAGTCTTGCCTATGGTAATTGATTGATTTGAAGGATGATTCTTGTGTCTTGGGTTGTCTTGAACTATGTTGAGAGGAATTACCTCTTATTCTTTAGCTTTACATGCTTTGAACTCACACATGCATATAGATGTTTATATATATTTTTTGATAAACCAAGTAAGCATGAAAACATAAAAGATTTGGGTTGTAGATATGAATTTGAAAAGGGTTATGACCTAATTATGCTTGTAATTCATGTTTATTGTGATGATATATCATAATATTGAGATAATTTTCCCTATTTTGCCCTTTGTAAATGTGTTTGGTCAGTTGGATTTTGTCTAAGTTTTGGACTGCTCAAACAAAGCATACGACTACACGTGTATAGCTCGGCTTTTCGCGCCTCCTTTTGGAAGGATGAATAGCCCGTACAGTTCGAACTCCACTTGTGTTGGTTCTGAGTCTGATTTCACAAGTGCAATGTGAAACAGTGGAAACACAAAAAGAGTCCAAATCTGGCAATTGCTTTTGGAAAATCGATATTTTGAATCAAATGCCAAAAATGGACTGCTTTGCCAGATATCAGAGTCGCCACCTAAATATTTATTTTGGAAAATTTAGGAAACCCATGACTCGTGCCAAAGGCCATTAGTCCGTCGTTACCAAAGTGTCTTGGTTTCGGGAACTTAGGTATGAGAGGGGAAGGTCAATAATGAGCACCCACTCACCTGATCAAAGATCGACCTCTACTAATTATGATGTGGTTCTTATTTACAGTATATGTTCTTATTTTATTTTTAACATGACATACAAGAATAGACTAATTTCACTAGAAGTTGGATCGTTTGATTTCATGTTTGTTTTGAAAAAGTGTTTTGAATATGTACCACTTGAAAAAGTGATCTCATATATATACATTCAATCAAAGTATCCCAATTTCAGTAAATAGCCTTCATCCACAGGCATTCAAACAGGTATACCAAGTAAGCATTTAGCCTCATGGTAGTATGTTTGATATGGCAGCAATCACATTCATGCAATATGCTAAAGCAAAAAAATACTTACCTTATGTCCAAAGGTGAGTCAAAAGAAAGCAAATAGTTAGACAAAATATATGATCCTAATTAATACAACATGACTAATACAACACATACAATATGCAATTAATAAGCTCGGCTACTAGCGTGGCATGCGAGTCAATTCAAGGCACGTGATAGTACACGTACTCAAGTAAAGAGTTTGAATTTGACATTTGAATAATATGATAAGCCGATCTTTATGTATGCAAAACAAATAAATGCAAGTCATGGAAATGCTAATTTGAAAATATGATGTCCCTATGCTAACCATCATAAGCAGATAAATAAAAGAAAGAAAGAATAGGGGGTTGGAAGACATACAACTTATTACATATTTATCCTCGCGAAGGAGGGTCCAAGTGTCCGAATAAATCATTATCACAAATCCGAATGAATAATAATGAAATGGGGCTATCTAATTTATTACAACAAATAATACGTAATGATTGCGCGATGCTCCTCAGGAATTACCTTGTCTGCCTTGCTGAGACTTGTTCTGTTTCATCTTATCATTGCTTTTAACCAAAAGTGTATTGTTTGCAATTTATTGGAACCTTGCCAACCCAAAACAAGACTTAGTCGAGCCCCAAATAAATCCAATCATACCTTGTTTTCTTTGCGAAAATATGTTTTTTTTGTGCCTGAGGTGAAACAGTGCAGACAGGGTATTCCTAGCCATGTTTGTCTCTTCTACCCTTCTCTATCATAGAAAATAGTCAAGAGATGAGCGAACTCGGTTCCCAAACCATCTATGGTTGCAAGTTGATTTGCAAGATGATTTTGGATACAATAGGACAAAGATCAATAAATGCAATGCATAACAACCACCCTTCCCTCTTATCATGAAGTGAATTCAAGAAGGGAAGTAGTGACGCTTCAAGGTTCATCAAATTATCATGAATTGATGTAAGATAAGCCTTGACACAATAATAGACTTCGGCATAACGTCTGGCCGTAAAGACGCTTCAAGATTCATCAAAACATCATGAATTAATGTAAGACAAGCCTTGACACAATAAACTCGGTATACCGTCCCACCGAATTCAATCAATCATATTGGTTCTTTATGTTGGTTGATTTATTTTAAACTCAATTTTATTGGCCTCTTTTATATTACCTTTCATTTTCTTTAATCCATTAAGTCCACGGTGATATTTACATCCACTAAGTCCGAAAGACAATAAAGGAAAATAAGTGTCGACTTAACCCAAGGATACAAACCTTATTTTCTTCAGAGGAAATTACAAAGGAAGAGTCAAACTTATTTACGAGTTAGGGATTTCAAGTCAAACCCAAGATGCGCAACAAGGACTAGTCAAACTTAGAAGAGTGATAATGACTTAGAAAAA